AAGATCTGATCCACAAGGCAGTGGAGCATCGTAAGGAGATGCACTCAAATGGTAGCCGGTGACCAACACAAGTCATGTTACATAGTATTTAATCAGCTTAAAACAATCAATCAATACTAATTTCTTCCTTATTTATTGTGTTACGTTTCTTCTCTTAAATCTAAAACAAAATACTCATGATATAAGACTCATTAATTAATAATGATACAGAGATAATATTGAACAAAATGAGAATGTGAAATGACCGACATGATCGTAATCAGATGGAAGAGTTATTTGTAGTTAGTTTTCATCTTAAACAATGTGCACTTGAAAACTACCGAGGACTACTATACACTGAACTCAAGACTTTCATGTCTCGTGACGAGTATGTTGCTTTTTAATTAATAAGTCGGTATCCATTGGTTTATATTTCTAACTTCAATTGGCTCGTTTCATAGCTTAAATGCTCGCGAAGAGGCATTAATCGCCTGGATTCGATGCCTGGTAGAGTTGTGGATGCCCACAGCTGAATAGTTACGTACCGGGACAAAACAGATAACTTGAACTTTTAGATTTTAAATGACTGTCTAATTTATATCAGTTCGTGATGTAAACTATGAAATTCAACAATGCTTAGAAACACTTTATACTAATTCATAATAGGGTGTGACGTCACCCGATGTTATTATTGAGGAGTGGATTGAGTATTACACCACCAACATTGTTAAACATTAACAGTCATGAATTTCCATTGGAACTAGAGAAATTCATTTTGAAGCTAGTCTCATTTGTGCATACAAAATTAATGTTCGGTTATAACCGAGGGAAAGAAACTAAGAGAATGAAGCTTTGAACGGCACCTGATATTTGTTGCTTAATCCTAATCTGAAATTGAGTAACCGTAGAAGTGAACTTTAATCCACCTGTATCAATGCTAAAAATTATCACCAGCAAAAAAAAAAAAAAGAATCACAACAATCCTACGACAGAGTTGGAAAACCGTGATTCCAAACCAGTGATGTACGTGGACTCCAGTATCCTGAAGGAACAAATGGCGTATGAACTAATTGTTGGTCACCGACTAGACCATGGAACTGTATCTCCTTACGATGCTCCACTGCCCTGTGGATCAAACCTTTAGGTCAAAGGCTCCGGGTGTGACCCCCTAAGAAAACCACCTGTTTTGGTCTGAGCACCCAGATAGTATTATAGCCCTTACACAAATGAAATGACAATTTTTTGTGTAGCGCATATATAACTGGTGCCCCCTTTTATCAATATTTATGTGTTCAAATAAATAAATAAATTCCAAGTATACAAATTTGTGGATCGATCCCGTACTAAGTGTTATCTTTATGCCGATAAACCGTACATTTTCAATAACTTGTTCATAGTCCGGTTAATAGTGAATTGAAACTATTGGTTATTTATATTAACCATTAAATCAAACTATTTATCATATTATGGTTAGGAGAGATGCTATAACGATGTAAGGTATATCTATTTGTTATTGTGATGTTCATCAAATAAATATTCTAATCAAATATCCAACTAACACATATATTTTTAGAATCAGTTAAAGTGCTTTAAAAATACGAGATTTTCATGATAACTTTACACTATGACATGATCTAAATGGCCTAGTAAGATCAGAATTGGTGAAAGTTCATCATTCTTCTAGAGATCCTTTCATATAGTCATGCATCTAAGGTTTATACCAGAGAAGTATTACTCACTACCTTTATGTGGAATGGGTGTATTTTACAAGATTAGAAGACGAAAAGCGAATAAACCAATACTTAAACTAGGTTAGGAGGGATAAGGTTCACATAAATGAGTTGGAAGACCCTAATTTGAAACCAGTGTTGTACATGGGATCCAGAATCATGAGAAAGCAAGTGGTGCATTAACCTAGTTAGAGTTACCAGGTACAGTAGGAACGCATCTTTCAACGTTAATCCAACCTTATGGGTTAAATTTCTTAATCGAAGGATCGAGTGATGGTCCACTAAGAAAATTTCCTGCCTAGGTTTATAATAATAATAATAATAATAATAATAATAATAATAATAATAGTTATTATTATACCTGTTGAACAGAGATATCAATGACAGTAGGTAATGAATGTGTTATTTATTGACTTTGTTATGCGATTCGGGAACTAACATAAAACATCCCCAACATAAGTATACACTCACTTGCCTTGGCAACAACTTCATAATCTAACCCTTAAAAATTTGTTGCTCCGATCAATATAAGATAAAATACATGAATATGCCTACAGAATTTCAAATCTGTCCTTGTGAACAAGCCACTAAGAATGTGTAGTCTAAAGTGACAAATTTAATATCACTCAGATAGTAAAAAAAGTTCTTCGGTTGGTTCAGTGGGAAACTATGAAGTTTTCAATAAAATAGATAAGTAAAAAACCTTTATGTTGTTTCTTGAATAGGGCAAATGGTTATTTTTTGTTTGTCAACAGTTTCTAGAACACTCAAGAACGATATGAATCAAAGCATTATTAATTCATTTTGTATGGATTGTTTAAATCTTCCCATTGATGTTTACGATTGCAATTGATCAGTCTCTTATTAGCATATGTGTATCCTGTGCGGATTGCCTCTATATCGTCTTAAACGACACACATTATGAGCAGAGATAGATAGTGGCTAGCAGTGGAATCCAGCGAATGGTACTGGGTTCGAGTCCCGTGGTGAAAAACAACTCTGAGATGCAGGTACATCCAGCTGACAAGTCCCAAACAGGATGAAACGCGCATCCTGGATTCGACTGCTAGACACAATCCATCTCTGCTTAAAAACACATCAGTTTTATTTTGTGCCTTTGATAAAATATCTCGAAATAAAGAGAATGCCCTCAGCTTATATTGTGCCCTGAAATGGTAATATAGTGGTTGGATCATTTTTTTTCAACCAGTAGGTAGGAAGTTCAGATTACACTTCAGCAACTCCGGTTTCGCTAGTAACGTAAGATCGATCATTAGATCTCGCACAACTAAAGTGTACATAAACTGGTGATTAGTAAATGAGTTTTGTTTTGGCAAATACTTTCAGCTGTTTATCTTGTTTAATTCTGAACCTACCAAACCGAAGTTTAGGTTTTCTTGTCACTTTTCTCTAATCGTCTAAAATTGAACAAAGTGTAGAAGAAAGTGGAACACAAGTGAGCCACATAGTAACTTGACCCCCATAGAATTTAATAAAGACTAGTTTGAATATGGTATTTATAATGTAATTTAATTATCACATGTACATTTATTTACTTAGAATTGAGAAATACTGTTTTATGTGAGTAGCCAAGAGTTGTAAACACTAAGCTACTGTCCAACATATATGATCTTGATACCCAATAAGTATAGTTTTATTTCGCTCAGTCTCTATGTCATCAATCAAAGTATAACCCAAACTAAAGCCAACTCTGACAGACACAGACAAAATGCAAAATTGTTTTTTTTTGTTTTATTAAAGAAACAAATTCAAAATAAATTCAAAGTGATACCCAAAATAATGACTAAAATTTCAACTTGATGTCTACAACTGTACCACTTTCAGAATACTAAGTATTACATTTGAGATCTGTGTTTTATGGAACAAATAGTTTGTGATTAATAGTGGAATCCAGAATGACAATTTCTTTCGGGACTTGTCAGTTGGATGCGCCTGAATTTCAATGTTGATATATGCATCAGGACTCGAACTAAAGACCTTTGGCTTCAAAATGCCCAACCTCTTATGCACTGAGCTATTGAATCCAGAGAAATAACAAGTCTCCAACAGGATGAAATATGAGTACTCCTCCTGCTTAGCCCCTCCTGTTGAGTCCAGAACACAAATTTCAGCCTCCGCGATATGAATCATATATTTCAAACATACTGGGTTTATATACAAACCAAACCACATCGCACCATAAAATAGAAAATGACAAGATCTAGCCAAAAACTGGTTGTGAATATGGGAGATTGTAATTAACAGACTGGAGAATCGTATAATACTAGTCTATAGGTCAAAATAAAGCTTAAAATAAGAGGAATCTGAATATATATAGTTTAGTTACTCAATAAAAATATATGTATAGTAATAGTCCATAAATGGTTCCCAACAGTTACCATTCATTATTCTCATTGGGATATATCAATATCATTACTAAAAACCTGAAAACACTGGACGACCGTTTCGTCCTAGTATGGAACTTTTCCACAATCCGTTGTGCAAAACTCGAACCCAGGACCTTCAGCCTCGCGCGGGAACGCTTCAGGTTTTCAATGGTGGTCTAGCTTAGATTGACTCACGAATTCAAAAGTTAAAATGCTACAATCTACACAAATCCTCATTTTTATAATTCTATAGGTCATAAATAATGTACAGTTTAATAAAAATGTGTGGCCGATAAAAGAAATGAACATGCTATCAAAACTAAAAGAGAGTCCAAGCAACAACGATATTGATGCTACTGAAACAATAACTTAAGTGAAACAGTGAAGATATTGAAATTAAGGAATTAAAAAAGTGAATATTGGTAGATTTAAAGGAAGACAAAAAATGAATATATACACGTCACTTCGATTGTTCTCCAGCTATAATACCAACTCTCTCCAACCATAGATAACGATTATCATATGTACTACAATCAAAACGTTTATACATTCTGATACGAATCAATGGTTAAAGAGTTTTAATTCCAGACGCTAAGTGGTAAGCTCAAACCCTGCTCTGTCTCCTTCAGTCTAGGCAATCAGGTAGTATCAATATCTCTTACATTCAGAGTTTGACCCATAGTCAATATAAATCTGTTGGATGCAAATAATAAATAAAACGACCCATACCAGTTGGATGGATAACTTATAATGACATAGATACCCGCAACTTTCTACCGGTCATCTTCTACACTATCTAACATTGATCAACATTGTTGAAGATTAACAATGGGAAAATGTAGTTAATAATACGTTACAACGATTGATTAGAGACAGACAAAACAATAAAACAACATTCACTTACAAATGATCTTGACGTTTGAAAGCTTTATGGCATACAATACAAATATATTTACGTTCTTCACTATGTGTTAACTTATGCTTGGCAATAGCACTGGAATTACTGAATACCTAGAGAGGCAGAAAAATAAAACAAAATATGAGAAAGTTTCGGTGAACTTCAGACGCTTGCTATGAAATCTTTGGTGAAAAATTATATTCCAATATGCAGTATACAGTCATTAAATGAACAGAAGGATAGCTAAGCGTTAGATACAATAAAATTATCGGACACTGAAAATGTTGAAGATATGCTTATACAGCACTTAAGACAATAACGTTTACCAATAAAGTATATTATAGCATTAATGAGTTGAAATGAGAATGTGCAAATGCGAATACGCCCAGAATGTTTCCTTATTTAGGGATAAATAGTGTTTTTGACACAAAATAAGAACTAGTTACATTTAGTTTCTTTAGAAAACCTCTCATGTTATTAGTGGTGAACTGAATCACACACTTTTCTAGTATAAAGATCAGGATATCCATATATAAGATCGACAGTCTGTTGTCATAGACCATTTTAAGTTTCAGATTACGGAGACTTTGGTTAGACAACCACTGAAAAATAGGAAGCATTGAATAGTTATTTAGTTCCAGTGTCCAATTTCCAGAAAAGGAACACACATTACCTAATCAAGCTTCAAACCCAGGAATAGAAGTCCCATAATGGGGTGAGAAAATTATCCTGTGCTTTCTGGTTTTCAGTAGCTTTCGAAAAGAAGTCAGTCCATTAATATTTTTATTGGAAGGATTTGTAATTTAAACTATCCATCTACTTATTGGCTATCAAATGGCGCTAAAGTTTTTTTTTCAATATTCTTTCACATCGATGATTTGTATACTCTTACAAAAGATAATAAACCGTAGAACCTGTTTGTTCAAATACCAACCTAACACATATCTTTTCATGTCTGTATTTGACTAATACATTATTTATTTTAGAAAAAAAATTGTTTAAGGACCAGATTGTAATAGCCCTTAATGTATAGTTATTGGGTTTGCAAATTTTTAGTATTTAGGATAGAACTAAGAATGTGAATCGACGATTGGATTTGAAGGAATTCAAGAGAGATAGTGATGCGATGATTAACAATTGGGCTTAACATATTCACGTTCTAATTGATTGTAGGGTGAAAGACCTGAAAAGTAAATAATCAACTGATGTGACGAGGCATCACTCCGAACGTATGTACCATTACATATCGTCGATGAATGCTCATTTATTTCGTTTCATTTTGACACGAAGAGTTCACCGAGGGGAGTTAGAAAATCCGGACTCTAAACCAATGGTGTATATGGGCTACATGATCCTGAAGGAACAAATGGAGTATAAACCGATTGTTGGTCACCGACTACCATGAGACTGCATCTCCATACGATGCTCCATTGCATCATGGATCAGACCTTTAGGTCAAAGGCTCGGGGTGTGGCCCCATAAGAAAACAACCTCCTTCGGTTTGGGCACCCAAGCAGTATTCCAGACCTCACATAAATCGGATGATTTGTGTGGCGCATATCTATTTGGTGATTCATTGTAGCAATGTTTATTTGTTTAAATAAGTAGATAAATTCATTTTGACAGTCAAAAACTCATTTGACTCATGAAATCTACCTCCGTAACCGAGGGAGCAAGAAAACCATACAAAAGGATTAAGGTTTAGACACACAATTTCAACAACGAATCATCCAAAGAGATTTTAATGTACCCAAAAGTACATTTCACTGTTTAATGTGAGATAAACGCCATTCCAAAACATAATCAGTACATAGACGTACAAATGTGAGTTATCACAACTTGCCGCATAACATCAACAGGATGCAATGAAATTAACATGAATAGTAGAGCAGTCGAAATGATGTATCACCAATGATAATCAAAAAGATTAAGCATTGAAAACAGTAGGAAAAGAAATTGAAAAGGCATGTATAAGAAGAATTATTACGTTTCACTCTATAAGATCAACATATTAAAGTTGTCATGACAAACCAACAAATTCTAACTCAACATAACTTAATTCCACCATGACACATCAATAACTAAGCACTCTCCTGCTTCTTCAACTCAATTTGAATAGTAACAAATGGTTTAAGGTATGAAAGCTACCATAGCATTGTAAGGAGAGATGAATTAAAACTACTGTAATAAAAACACAACCTCCACTCCAATTGGATGAATGATTTTTACTAAATGCAAACATTTGTAGCTAAACATGAATGTTTATAATACGGTATTCTGACGGAATGTAAACAATTTTCCAAAAAACAACGCGAATATTGAACATACAGATCCATCAGATAAACAGATATAAACTTCGTAAGAACAGACATAAATGCGTACTGTTGCATGTTGTCATGTATCACATTAACAATAAGATTTATATCCTTCCTTTCTGATCAAGTTGAAAAAGTACACTTTTATTCTTGATAAGAAACAGCAGGAAATATAATGAATTCAGTGACTATTCAGAGGTTTCACACAACAGTAAACTTATATGTAGGTCGTATTCTTCATATATCGGATTCATTTAAGATATCATTGAAAACCAAGGAGCATTGAACAGTTGTTTAGCACTAGCATGTAACTCTTAAGCGATATGTATTTACGAACTATCTATTAATAAAACCAAGGACTTTCAGATCTCGCTGAGGAAGCTTAGCCATTGGAACTATTGGACCGGCGTCAAATAGTTCAATTCCAACTCTAATGAATTCGTGGTATAGTACGATAGTCAGCCAATGCCATTGAAGACAACTGTCCCACTCTCAATTAGTTTGAACTTCATCAGCCACCACTTATTGCTAGAACTTCAGAAACATCTTGAAGCAAGTCACTAATGAGCTGACTATTATAGTTTATTTAAAGTTTTGTGGTGACTGGATTAATTTGTATGTAATATATGTCTTATTCAGGTAATTTTTTGAACACAAATGCCATCCATGAGTAAAATTGATCTTCATAAAACCCTTTCAAATAAATGAACTTATGTATTCAACAGTCGACAGTCTAAAATGCTTACCATTCATTTACGTCCAGATGAAATAGCAAGATACAACACAATAAACGAAAGATATAAGACTACAGAAGTAGAGCAGCAATGCACATACATTTACAATCTAGTCTGCTTCTCCAAACGTATTCTAAATGACATTAATGAGGAAAATTATATTTGTAAAAAATTTATTTTATTTTATTTGAACACATAAATATTGGTACAAAGGCAATACCAGATATATATGCGCCACACAAAAAATGGTCATTTAATTGTATGAGGGCTATGATACTGCCCAAGTGCCCAGACCGAAACAGGTGGTTTACTTAGGGGGCCACACCCGGAGCCTTCGATATAAAGATCTGATCAACAATGCAGTGGAGTATCGTGAGGAGATGCAGTCCCATGGTAGTCAGTGACCAACGATCGATTCATATGCCATTTGTTCCTTCAGGATACTGGAGCCAGCCCATGTGCACCATTGGTTTGAAATCAAGGTTTTCCAACTCCCCTAGGTGGACGCGCCGTGTCCATCAATCCGGTTAAAGCGTCGGACATTCGCTTTTCGTCCTCTCCATTTCGTAAACAAAACCCTGGTGCGAGAAGGCAGTGAGTAGGACTTCCGTGGCAGAGGCTGTATACGCGTGGCGGTGTAAAATAGTTTTTCACTGTCAATAATATTGCATTAATCCAGCCCCCATACATTTTGTTAATTTCACTTCGTCGTGTTAATGTTGAGTAGGAACTTGGATCAACATACATCGGTTTCAGGTTCTATGTTGATGATAACTGACAGATAACTAACAACTTTTTGAACATTATGCAGTGACCAATGTCATATTTGTCTAGTGTTTTTAGCTCTGATTGAATATTATCGATCACGTTGCAATGTAGCCACTAATCTAAGTGACTGAACATAAAACATGCTATGCTGAGATATTAAATGGATAAAAGTGGTCAACAAGAAACACTGGACCTATGTTCACAGTGAGAAACATTTCCCCCGAGATTCGATGTAGCCCGAAAACTACAGTAACAACATTCCAGATTGTAAAGCAGGGTGACGTGGATCCAAATCCCAAAAGAGACAAAAATTTTTCCAACATTGTAGATACACCCTACAGATCAGTACCAACAAGCAGGAAGCCTAGGTTAAGGGTTTCTTACCGACTACCTGGAACCACTTAATACATATATATATTACGTAATGTAATTTGATACAATGATGACAAAAAATGTATACTTACTTTATCACAAAACGGACATTTTAATGTTGTTCTTGGATGAACTGGTTGCTTTACTAAACTAGTTGGAGTTTCATTTGAATTAAGTTTAATAGCAGAATAATTAGAAGAGGCATTATTATTATTATTATTATTCATTGTATGTTGTTTTTTCACTGATGATATAGCTGCTCGTTCGTTGTTGGGGTTCTTATTCTTGCCACTTATAGTATGAGTAGTATTCCATATAAGATTAGAGGAAATTGGAGAATTGGATGCGCTAATGATGGGATTATTATCATCATTCTCGTTATTAAGATTATTAACACATAAGTCAGACAAGCTTTTTTGTTCAGATTTTGATAATAATGATAAATCACTTGATGATATTGTACTATTGTCATTATTTAATGTTAAATTACTGATAGATGATTGTATAGTATTACAACTAGAAGATGGAAGAATAGAAAGGACAGCACCAGTAGTAGTAGAGGTGATGATCATCTGATGGTGACGATGATCAGCTTCATCAGAAATTATGGATGAATTAGAAGAATTACACAAAAGATCAAAATTATATGGATTGTCTTTAGAGGAAGAGGAAAAAGCAACAGAAGACAAGGAATTAACAGTTGTTGGAGATGTTGTACGTTTCAGTAATCTATTCACCGGGTTTACATTGACAGTAGAAAGATTTGATTGGCTATTTATCAAATTCGTTCTGAACAAATCACGACTTGACAATGATGATGATGACGATCTATTCGAATTGATTAATGGCTCACTAAAATTGGATATGAACATCATTTATTTTGTATGTCTGAATTATAAAATTATAGGAAAGAGAGCATAAATGAAACGCAAACAATAACAGTAAATTAACCAGTTGGTTGACACACACACACACAATACGAAATAGTGGTGAGTTTAGATAGTCAATATAAAGTCTTGAACCAAAATTTTTCGCTATTTGACATTGGTCTTTAAGGTGTGCCTTAACTTTAGGGAAAACAGTGTTCTCTGGTGGATTCGAACTCAGGTCACCTAGCTTAGCTGTCTGAAACGTTACCACTAAACAGTTTAGGCCGCTATTTGTAATGTGACTTTGCAACCGAATGCAACTTGATGAAATTAACCAACGTCTTATGTGAGATCTAGAAATATTAAGCAATTTTTGTCCGAACTGAGCTAGGAGGAGAGGGTGTTTGAACCTGCATCTCAGTAGTTGAAAATCAACTAATAGCATCATTAAAATGTCGCTTCTTTAATTAAGCAATAATATATAGATTATAAATACACCACCTCACTAATGATAAATGCTGATAACAAGCAAAAACCATCTAGCAGTGGCCTGAACATTGAATATACAATAAAATAATGTATGATGTGAAAAAGTTATGGCAACGATTACTTTTCATTTGAATAGACACGTTTAATGTTACAATTGAATTAGTTGATATTCAGAGTTAATTGTTCTACTCACAGTAAATGAGTTACTTATAAGAATTCATTAGACATATATATATATATATATATATATATATATATATATATATATACATGAAAATTTTATGCATCAGGACACTTATATTGGTATATTGGAGGAGTAAAGTTCAAATTTACAACTCAATTATAATGTGGTGTGGGTTACTTATATCCACACAAGTAGTATATGACGATGGTCAGGTATTGTATGCATTTCAGTAGAAGATCGATAACTAAAGGACGGGAACGAAATTCAATTAGTATGAAAATGCGTGAACAATAACAATCAGAGACGGACTGATATTTGCAGAAGAAATAGTCAAGATCGAGACAATTGATTTACAGTTTGCGAATTTTCATAGTTGAAATCATGAGTCAATTGAAGATAAACCACCATGGAAAACCAGGAAGCACTGGACGGTTGTTTCATCCTATTGTGGCACTCCTCAGCAGTGAGCATCCACGATCCCGCACTCGTGAGGCTCGAACCCAGGACCTACCAGTCACACGCCAGAGCACTTAACCGATAGACCACTGAGCCGGCATCCAACGGTGTTAATGTCTAACTTTATCTAATCCACGAAACTTGAGCAACCGTCCACCAATTGTCTTCAGTGAGTTGATATCACACAACAGATGTGGTTTGAACTCCACTGGTCACTGCTTCCCACTAGAACTCAAGGAAATATCCCTTGAAGTCAGTCACTAGTGAGCATATGATTATAGATCCGAAGGGGTTTTGTGGAGATTTCAGTATTTTCATAGTTAAAATCATGAGTGTGAGACTAGTAGGTCCTGGGTTCGAATCTCGTGAGTGCGGGATCGTGGATGCGCACTGCTGAGGAGTCCCATACTAGGATGAAACGGCTGTCCAGTACTTCAAGGTTTTCCATGGTGGTCTAACTTCAATTGACTCAAGTTTGTAAATTAACTATTTACAATATGGTTCACATATTTTAATGAGATATCCTGTAATTTTGGGCCTAAATACATCCGACTGTCCCCACTCGTCTTCTTGTTCACTAAAATAGTACTTCATCAAATATTACCCTACTGCTTTACTGGTATTATAATGCATTATTAGAATAAAAAACCTACAGAAATATTCGATATATAAAGGGGAAAAATTTAAAATTCATATACAATCAAAACAATGTACTTACATACATTCAATATGTATTAAAACAATACACAATAGAATATTATGATTAGCCACACAATATCAAACTTTCTTTTAGGGGAACAATAAAAATTGAAGCATTTCTCACATTTTTCAATGATTGAACAAAGTTTTGAGACATGTAAAATCTGAAGAAGAAAAAAAAGATTCTTTTTTATTGGAAGAAAGTATTATACATTCAATATATCACATATCAAAGACCAAAGAACACATTACACCAAGAAATGGAGACAGACATAAGAAGAATGAACAAAAATTGGATAGAACTAGAAAGGAAGGACCACGACAGAGTGGGTTGGAGAATGCTGGTTGGCGGCCTATACTCCATTGGGAGTAAGTAAGTAAGTAACATCAGGTATCATTAAACAAACTGTAAGCTATATATGTTTTGCAGACCCTAATTGCATGTTATTCATTTAACTAAGTCTAAAGTATGAGACAGCATTCGAATTTTGAGCTTAATGAGTAGGTAATGAAAGTTAATTAAACCATAGGATTTTAACATTAGAAACAAGCAAATCCAAGAATATAAATAGGTATTGGACTACTAAATACTGAAAGTTGTTTCTACAGAAGGTAGGATACACCTTTTGAAATCGTTGTATTATAGTTGTTAAGTATTTATTAGGAAGTTTTTTCAACAAAACATCATGGAAATTATGTACATGTCTACTCTATCACAATGAATACAGAAAGTATTTTCAGTATGTTGGTTTTTATATTCGACAGCTTCTAACTGGTAAGCAACAATGTGTTAAGATGAGACAAATGACAAAATCTGGAGGTTAATTTTAACAGATCAGTATTTACATTTTTAACATGCATTAATTAAACATTCAGTTATAAGGATTTTGAATTATTCTAATTGTAAACTTTGGCTATACAATCAGTGATTTTGATTTAAAATATAGAAGTTACGTCGAGCTTTCTTTGGTGTTTCAGTATGGCAAGAACAAAGTAGACAGCTCGCAAATCAACGGGGGGTAAAGCACTCCGTAAGCAGCTGGCCACCAAGGCTTCGCGCAAAAGCGCACCGGGGGCTTGAAGAAGTCACACAGATACAGACCCGGGACCGTTGCCCTCCGAGAAATCCGTCGTTACCAGAAGAGTACCGAACTTGATTCATAAACTACCATTCCAGTGTTTGGTCCGAAAAATCGCCCAAGACTTCAAAACCGATCTACGATTCTGAATGGGACTAGAAGACAGAATCCTAAGTGGACCAATAAGCATTAACATATCAGTATTACTGGTTCAAACATAGCAAATAACCCAAGGTCACAACATAAATATGCATAAACCTAACATCTGTATATTAAATGGTCAAATAACCAACGATATCTCAATTTATAGGACATTAGAAATCCTATCATTATTAATAAATCTGAAACATGAAAGAGTAATTGTACTTCTATAAAGAAAGAACAAAATGTGTGATTAATTATGGGAGTCATGTAAGTTAATACGAACGATAGTGATAACAATCATAGTTGCCCCCAAATTCCCCGTTATGGTCGAGAGTGGGGAGAGTCAGCTCTCCCTCTCCAAATGCTATCATATGGCCACGCATATACAACCTCTGCCAGGGAAGTCCTACTCCCTGCCTTCTCGCACCAGGGTTTTGTTTACGAAATTGAGAGGACGAAAAGCAAATTTCCGGCGCTTTAACCGCGTTGGTGGACATGGAGAGTCCACCTAGGGGAGTTGGGAAACCGTGATTCCAAACCAATGGGCACATGGGCTCCAGTATCCTGAAGGAACAAATGGCGTACGAATCAATCATTGATCACCGGCTACCATGAGACTGCATCTCCTCACGATGCTCCACTGCCTTGTGGACTAGACCTTCAGGTCAAAGGCTCCGGATGTGGCCCCCTAAGAAAACCACCTGCTTCAGTCTGGGCACCTGAGCAGTATCACAGTATCAAATGAGATTTGTGCGGCGCATATTTATCTGGTGCCTCTTTGTACCAATATTGTGTTCAAATAAAATAAAATAAAGATAACCATAAAAGCATTACAATAATAGTAATAATGGCGTGAGGGAGAAGAAGTTTTATTTTTCGTTTGATATAAAAAGCTTAACGAATTTTATGGTAATTGCATTCCATATATTTAGATGTCTTTTGACAAGTAAAATGTTCTCAGTCGATGAATATTTCTACTTACAACATACACAAACGATTGAATTGAAGAATGACTAGGTTATTTTTCCACTCTAATGAATTCATTATGTGATAAACCATAAACGGTTAAATAATCAAGACACTTTAACATGAACATACATACAAGACTAAGAATAGGAACTTGAATCAATGAAGTTTTATGATTTTTATGCGTTACAAATACAAAATTGATTCTATCTTCATCGGTTTTTTGCTGTTGTAGATATTTAAATAAAATTGTAATGGTTCACATGGTAAACATGATAATTTACACCATTCGCAAAATCAATACTTCCATGCTTTTTATGATGACTAATTGAATATAGATTTCTATAAAATTAATGATTATTTAATGTGAATAGAACAGGAGTGTAATATATTTAAACCACTCAAGTACTGGAAAGATAATTTATCTAAGTTTAGAATGCTGGTGAGCGGCCTATGCTCTTCGACGAGGGGTAACAGGCGTAAGTAAGTAAGTAAGAACACAACAAAGAATAACTACGACTTTTGACAGAAACGAATGCAGACTCTTTAGATTTGAAGGAGATTGATTATGAATACAGTGGTCTTGAGTGCTGTTAGAGGTATGAGGGCAGTTATCACTTCCCGGTTGCCCACATCGTGGAAGGGTTCTTCTAGAGGTACCTGAAAAGGAAATTGGGTTAGAAGTG